AACCAAAACAACAAGTTGATGAAGAACCAATTGTAAGTGACATCCAAAACAATGAATTAATAACTAAAGAAAAGGAAATCCAACCATCAGACTCTTTAACACTTTCCAGTGAAGATAAAAAAGAATCGAAAGTTAATAATTTATCAGAACGTCCTTCTGAAAAAGGACGTCTTATCTATGAACAAAAAGAAATAAATGAATTCTTCAATAAAATTGATGGAGAAGTTCAACTAATACCAGTTCAAAAGATTAAGTCTAAACCAGGAAAAAGAAAGCAAATAACTAAAGAAGGATTTGCTTATCGTAAGACATTATCGTGTGAGACGGACCAATCACTCAATAAGATTAGAAGCCAAGATTCTCCTTCAGGAGAAATGGTCCCACCAAAGAAAGTGCCTGTTGGAGGAGTATCTTTGTTTGGTGGATTTAATCCTGCGAAAGTTTCACTGAGAAAGACTAACTATCCAAAGGAAGAAAAGGAAAGTAGTATTCAAAATTCTGAATCAAATCCTCCACCAAGAAGTATTTCTGAAAAAGCAAGACCCCCTGGAGTACCAGGAGGACAACCACTATTTGGAGGATTTAATCCTGCAACATTTAAATTAAAAAAGACTACAGTAAAGAAGGAAAACACACCAGAAAAGAAGTCACAAGAAGAAGTTCCTGAATTTATGAAACTCAAATTAAAGAAAGCAGAAAAATGAAAAAGATGACTAATATATTTAAGATGTAGTAAGTACATTCATTGAATTTATTCATTAAAAAAGAAATTCCGTTTAATGTTTGTTTTTTGATAGTTAAAGAAGTGAGAATAAGAAAAAGGAGTAAAAGAAAATCCTACAAATGATATATAAGTGAAAAGAACAAAAATTAAAGAAATAATAATGGAAAAGAAGAAATAGTTTTGATAAAAGAAATGAGATAAATGGGGATATTTTTTGAAGAATAATAGAGTGTAAAACAAGAAAAGTAATTCTAAAATAATAAAGGAATGAAAAAAAGGAGAATAGAAATTTGAAAAAAGAATATAAATATAAATAATGGAAGAAAAATATATATTACAGGAAGTGAATAAGAAAGAGAAGTACATTTTAAAGTGATTAATTTCTATGTTTTTGAATGAAGAAAAAATATAAAAGAGCAATTGAAATAGTTAGAGGAGGGATATTAATTAGAATATCATTTTAATACTTTTTAATGAAAGTATTACCAGAATTTTTAAGTGAATTATTAATTAAAGAAAGACATATTGAAGAAGTATTAAGTGTAATATGTGAAATGCAAGATAAAGAATTAATGTTTAAGTGACTAGAAGGTAATAAAAATTCAATTAAAATAATAAAATAATTCTGATATTTATAAGTACAATATTGTCACAAAGAAATAGTGATAGAACAATAAAAGTTTTTATAAATATTTATTCCTTATTTTAAGTGAACAATTTGATGAAGTAGAAGAATTAAATAATTGTATTAAATTATTAATATTTCATTATGAATATTAGAAATAATAAATATCATTAATATAATAGTCATTTTCACCAATTTATTACAGTCTAAAGTTAATAAAAATAATATTTTATTTATTACATAGAAGAAGTATTGAAAAAAGTATTTTAATAATTAAAATAGTGAAAAGAATATATTAATTGGTTTATTACTTAATTTATTAATTATTATCTGAATGTTCTTTTAAAAGAGAAATATATATATTAAATGTCTTACTGACAGTTAGTTTTATTCTTTAATAAGCATTATTTAAATAGTTTCATGTGGACCAATGAAAAAAAATAGTAAAAATTCTGTTTGTTATGACATCAGCTAGCTTAATACAACAAATTATTGAAATGATATATTTTTATATTTGGTGGAATTTATTAATTGTCCATTTGTTACTCATTTCTTAGAAATTCTTTATTCAATTATGATTATTCTATAGTGTATCGCAATTAAGTAGTTTTTTAAATTAAAAAATATGATTTGTAATACATTGAATTCAATGTTAAAACACTTCAAGAGAAGTATCAAAATAAACTAATAGAATCGTTTTTTTGTTACATTGTTTAATTTAACATTTGATGAAGAAATAGTATTTGAGTTTCAACTCTTTAGAGCTGAGCAATAATTAAAAATAATAAATTCAAAAGAACATAAGTTTATTGGTTTTTTTAATAGCCGATTTATTTCTTATAAAGCATAATGACTTCTACTATAATGAATATATTAAATCTACCAACTAAAAAATGAAACTGAAAGTCTTCATATTGTTGTTTATTTTCTTCAAGACAGTAATTACAAATTAGAATAGTTATTGAATTTAAATTAAAACAAGAATATGGTTCAAAAGTCTCACTTGTTGGCTTTTATCTATTTATTGAAATTAATAGACTTGAAGATGGTAAGACTAAAGAAAATTTAAATAAAAGTTTCATAAAAGGTCTTGTTAAAAATGGTATTAATCAAAGAAAAAACTCCAATTTAAAGAAGCTAAGAAAGAAGAAAAACAACACATATTTAAGAAAAGAGTAAATAAAAAGAAAGAAACTAACAAATTTCAAACAAAAAGAAATACTATGAGAAAAAAATGATTGCAGAATTAAGTCAAAAAAGAATAATGAAAGCACATTATTATGGAATTATTAGAAATAGAAAGAAATTATTTTAATAGAATATAAGAATATCTTGATACATTCTATTTTTATTTAAAGAAATATATAAAATAATAGAACCTTAAAATTTTATTTAATTAGTTATCATGCATATATAAAATCAATATTAAGTTAATACAAGAGCTAAACGAATGATACTAATGACTTTTGAATAATGAAAGTTACTGATATATTTAATTCTTTTTTAAATTAAAAAAAGTAAAACACCTTATTACTATGGATCAATTGTAACACACTCAATTGAGATCCATGGTGAAGAGATTAAACACCTTTTATCATAATGGGTAGATGAATTTAAAATATCTTCAAATTACTTCATTGAACCAGTCCAAAGATGTTTTTGATATATATTATTGTTAGGGTCATTGATCAAAACTACCTCTAATTTTACAAATGAATATGTTGAGTGACAAAAAGTAAATGAACACTTCAAAGAAATCACTAAAAGAATTGATGAAAAGAAGAATAGTTTCTTCTATTCTTCGTCCTATTAATTTATGAAAATTTGTTTATGAAAGATTTATCACCTTTAAAGAGAGAGTTAGAAAGAACCGCACTACAACATTATTTGTAATGTTATATTGTTTTTGGTTAAAAGAAAGGTTTATTATAATTTAAGTATGAACTTAAGAAAAAAGAATTTGTTCTTCAAACAAAATAGAAAAATGAGAAATAGTTTTATTCCTTAGTCTATTGAAACGCAATACTTCTTTTGTTTTCTTCTTCCCTCCTGAAATTAATTTCATTTGATGGAAAAATAAATTCTATGAAATAACTAAAAAGAATAAAAATTATGTTATATAAAACAATAATTAAAGTATTTTTTAGTTTCAAATATTTTTTTTTGTTGTTCAATAACGTCTGAATATATTAATAAAATTTCATAAACAAAATAGAAGCCAAAGACAAACAAATACCTACAAATAGAAAATCATTTGAATAAAGACATAATAAGTATAATACGATAATCAGTCATAAAATAACTAAAAATAAAGAATGCTAAAAATAAACATCAAAAAAGAAAAAAGAAAAAAACTTGAAACTTACAAAAAGATTATGTTCAACCGAAAAAGCAAAAAAGAAAAGAAAGATAAGAGTCAAATTGAAGAACAAATACAAAAAACTATTGTCCTTGAAGAAGAATTAAATCAAACAAAAAAAGAATTAGATGAAAGTAATAAAGCTGTTGCGTTGTTGTCTTCAAGAGTTGTTAGATTAGAAAATGAGTACAAACAATTACACACAATCATTGACCAAATTAAGAGTACAGGAATTTTAGAAAAAAAAATTGAATTAGAACCAGCTGATGTTGTTCTAAGTAAAAATTTCTATGATGAATATATTAATCAATTATCTGAATGGTGTGGAATGAAAAATCATGAAACACTTTATGATAGTGATGAAGATGGACTTACTGCTCGTGCATTTAATTATAAGACATGTGGTCAAATTCATACAATGACTATTGTTCAAACAACTGATGGATGTATTTTTGGTAGTTACAATTCTATTGAAATTCCCGACTCAAAAGAAAAAGGGTATGGGTTTTATATGACTAAAGACGATGGATTCTTTTGTTTCATTCTCAAGAGTCCATTAATTAAAAAACCAATTAAAATTGTTAGAAAAGATCCATTTTATTCAACCAAAGTATATTCTTGTGATAATGATAAATGGATTACTGGTATTCATTGTGGTTATTATCTTGGTATTGAAGATTCTTCTTTTGTTTCAGGAAAATTCTCAATGTACTACAATATTGAGATGGAAAATGCAGTTAATATTTTCTCTGGAAATCATTTTCCAGACACTTTTTCAGTATTTAAAGTTGTTGTATTAAAATGGAGTTCAGAATGATCATGAATTACTTCATTTCAAGACCATAAAATCGATTATCATCTTTTTCTAAGCTATTTCTTTAGTTCTGTTCTTCCTTTTTAATTTTTATATTACAGTTAGCTTGTCATCATTAATACTATTAATGAAAAGAAGAACTTAGCTTTGAGAATAACAATTACTAAAAGGCTCTTTTTTGGTTTTAGTTATAGAATCTTTTAAGACTTCTATTTGGTAATTTAGTAACATTTATTTGTTTTCTCTTATTAGTAATGTTTTTAATGTGAGCTAATCTTCTACACTTCTTTTGATTCATAATTGTTAAATTAAAACTTACTTTTAATATAACTTTTAGTGGATTTGCTCAACTTATAAAGTATAGAATAAACTTTATTGATCTTGTCTTTGTTAATTCATCTGAACTACAAAAATCATAGAAATTATGATAACCCAATACACAAACTAATTATCTCATACGGAGAAAATGTCATGAATTATATAAAAGTTTGAGAGTGTTATTTAATATCATTAAACAAGAAATGTAAAAAAGAAGAACATTTGTAAATAAAAAATAATTTATTATAATTAGATATTAACTTATATTTGTAATATACGATTTTGAAAACTTTGTTCTTTATGCTTTCGTTTGGTTGATAAAGTATTATTCATATATTTATTAGCTTATTTTTTAATTAAATGTTAGATTCTTTGAAATAAATAATTTTTTTGACTGTATATGAACTTTTTAACTCTTATTATAAAATAGTCTTTTGATAAACAATGAACTTTTTTGTCGTTGAGTCATAATTAACAGTTTTTATGAATTATTTTATTTGATGTGAATTTTTATTTATTTTTAAAATACTTTTTTAATCTTACTATTCATATTAATAGAAATACTTTGTTCCTAATATTTTCTTTTATTTAACATATCGTTATTAGAAGATATTCACAACTTAACTATTAGATATTATGTTTATCAAAGTTATCGAAGGGAATTGTTAGTGTTTTAGATTCTAGTTTTGACCTTTTTGAAGAAAAGAATTGTTCAGAATATAGAGTTGATAAGAGTTAAAACAATTTTTGTTTGTTGAACGATTAACACAAAAGATATTCTTTGTAATAAATTACATTTAATTGAAACAATTCTATATTTTTAAAATACAACACAAAAAGAATATTTAATTCATTGTATGAAAA